GAAAAGAAGCTCAAACCAACCCACACACCTAGGCCATGACATAAGGCATCACCCACTGTGACCACATGTTTCAGCATCACGCACTACCAACACGACACAAGTGGATGTAATTACACAATACATGATTACAATTGCCAAATTTGGCTAAATTAGACCATATTCAAAAAAATTGCACGTTTGCTATTGGAAATGACGATTACTCGTTAACCCTAATCCTCCAATATCTTGCAGATACTGAGTTGCTCTCTCATTAAAAAACCAGTCATTCGTTGTTTATCTGACTCATACTCGTAGGTGTTTATTTCCACTGATTTTTCAGAGAAACAGAACTGAGATGTAATAGAGCAAAGACACGCCCCTCAGACTAGGCTAATGCTAGCATGTATTAAAAAAGAGCCTAGTGTTTATTTCTGGCCTGTGCAGCATTGTTGTTGCAGTTTTCTCAAGCACCACAAGAGGGGGTAAAGTACCAGCAGACCTCCACTTCAGCCACTATAGCAGCGATCTACACTGGCCTTTCAACACCTTGTGTCTGTAAACAAAACAGGATAAATAAAAGCCGTAATACCTTAGATTTGTAGAGGAAACCCCAAACTAAACCATTCCCTTCCTCTATCTTGTGTGTTACATTCTTCCTTTATTAGGATATCTGGTGTTGAGTGTTGGCAGTGCAGCTCTTCTTGGGACAAACATTACAGCATATTTTGTGCTTTAGATCATCACCGTCGTGGAGGTGTGTTGACTGGGGTGGGGGGGGGTGGGGGGTGGGGGGGGGGGGTTAGCCGACAAAAAGTTTTGGCTGCTTTTATTTTGAAAAGTGACACAAATGAACTATTCAGGGGACCCAGGTAAAAACGAGGCCTCATTTGTCACCAGTCACATCATTTCTGTGAACACCAGCAAGCTTTGAGTCAGACCTTTCTGACTCGCCGCTTTTTGCTTGGTACACGCCTCAGAGCCCCAGCCTCAAATGTCCCATCAGTACTCCGATGCCTGACTGTCACTTCTGTGGTTCTGCCTACGGTCTTTATTTACTTATCTAATGCTTGAGTATATTTTTTAGACTTGCTTTTATTAAATTATATCTGTGCAGTGACTAGTCTGTTGTGGTGATAAGCGAGCTAAGCCAGAGAATAAAGCTCTCCACTGATTGGTCAAGCCCAGCTCTCTCCCCTCATCACGAGTTTTGGGTAATGATCAAACGTACAAGATCATGATTACAATCAGGGCAGCAGTAGCTCAGGTGGAAGACCGGATTGCCTCATGATCGGAGGGTCATGGGTTCAATTCCAGCTCCCGCCAGGGGTATCCTGCTGTTGTGTCCTTGGGCAAGACACTTCACCCAACTTGCCTGTGTTAGTTGTGGTCAGAGGGGTTGACGGCGCCAAATGGCAGCCTCGCCTCTGTCAGACCTCCCCAGGGCAGCTGTGGCTACAAGTAGCTTACCATCACTAGCAGTGTGTGAATGTGAGAGAGTGTGAAAGCATCTTTGGGTGTCTAGAAAAGCGCTATATAAGTTCCATGCATTATTATTATTATTATTAATCATCCATAATTAGTGTCCTGCCCTTGGTGGCTGGGCTCAGTCTTCTAGAAAAAGGCTGAGGAGCTCAGACATCCTCAAAGCAGAGCAGCTGCTCCTCCTCATCAAGAGAAGCCATCTGAGGTGGTTCACATCTTTGGACAGAAAGCCTCCGGGATGCCTCTCTGGAGAGGTGTTTCCAGTAAGTTCTGCCAGCAGGAGCGCACCAGGACCACCCAGTACACCATGGAGGTTGACAGTACATCTCCAGGTTGACCAGTGAACACCTTGGGATCCCTTTGGTGGAGTTGGCTGGGCTGCATTGTCAACCATAAAATGACTAAGAAAAGCTGCATCGGGCAATAATGGTTGGTTTGGACAAGCCTTGATGAGCTGATAGAGTCCGTTTGAAGTGTGAGTAAAACAGAAAGCCTTGATAAGGAGATCATAAATCAGCATCAAGTACTTTCCTCGGAAGGGCGTCAGAGATATAGATACGTTTATGTGACAGAAGGACAAACTAATGCAAATCTTCACACTGACTGGAGATTATTTCACAGTTCTGTTACTATTGACTGTAGGAGTCGTAATAATCCACACCCCTCATCATTTAAAATAAACCATTTAGTGTTTTGTTTGAGTATTTTACCCATCTCACTGATACGCCAGCTGACTCTACTAAAGTCTACATCTTCAGCCAACTCTGAAGAACAGAAAAGCTCCTGGGAGGGCTACGGTGAGAGGAAATGGTTTAAATGTAACAGGAGCAGGACAGACAGCTGCCCCAACCCACACAATGAAACATGATCTTGTGCCTTAGTAGAAAAAATATGATGTCATGGGTTGAATTATCTTTCAATCAGATCTTTGTTTTTTGTCATGCCTATTGTTTAAGATTTAGTGCTGAAGGAAGCAGAAATCTTTGCTGTTCAGAGCTACAAATGCTGCGTTGGGGCTTTCCTGACTTGTCATCATAATTTAATGTAACTTCAACGATTTTAAATGCATTTTAAACATACGAGTGCATAATTTTCTCCTTAGATTTATTATAGAGCTTGTTTTACTGTTCGGTTTGACCCAGTGCCTGCCCCGAACATCAGCAGTGTCATTCATGACCTCACACCCCATCGGTGTCTCTGGTAAGACTCAGAGAGCAAACACACGGCTGCTTAGCTCGATCCAAACAAGCGTGTAGTTTTAAGTTCAGGTTGCTTAATGGAGAGAGCCAGGTTCATACTTCAAACCAAACTTGCATGCTCCTTTAAAGTTCTACCTTTCTGTGACCATATTATAAATAATGACAAATAAGGAAGGTAATGGTTTTTAATATTATTTAACAAGATGCGATTGTAGCTTGTCAGGTCTTGATGATAAAGAATGCCCATTCATCAGTTTTCATCTGCTTGTCACTTGGGCCAGCTCCTCCGAGGGAATCCTACGGCGTTCCCTGGCCAGCCAAAAGACACAGTCCCTCCAGCGTGTCCTGGGTCTTCCTTGAGGCCTCCTCTCAGTTGGACGTGTCTGGAAAACCTCATCAGGGACGCGTTCGGGAGGATGACCGAGCTTCTCTCCCTATCTCTAAGGGAGAGCCCGGACACCCTGCGGAGAAAACAAGTTTCAGCCGTTTGTATCAGCGATCTCGTTCTTTCAGTCACTACCCAAAGCTCGTGACCATAGGTGAGGGTAGGAACGTAGATCGACCGGGAAATCAAGATCTCAATCTGCTCACCATGACAGATCGGTACAGTGCCCACATCGCTGCAGACGCAGCACCAATCCGTCTATTGATCTCACGCTCCATCATTCCCTCATACCCAGAGATACTTAAACTCCTCCACTTGGGGCAGAACCTCATTCCTGACCCGGAGAAGGTATTCTACCCTTTTCCGAATCAAGACCACGGTCTCAGATTTAGAGGAGCTGATTCTCATCCCAGCTGCTTCTCACTCGGCTGCGAACCGCTCCAGCGAAAGCTGAAGATCACGTTCTGATGAAGCCAGCGGGACCACATCATCTGCAAAAAGCAGAGGCCTGATCCTCAGGCCACCAAAACGGATGCCCTCCACACCTTGGCTGCGCCTAAGAATCCTGTCCATAAAGGTTATGAACAGAATCGGTGACAAAGGGCAGCCTTGGCGGAGTCCAACTCTCACCGAAAACAAGTCTGACTTACTGCTGGCAATGCGGACCAAGCTCTGACACCAGTCATACAGGGACCTAACAGCCCGTATCAGAGGGCCTGGTACCCCATACTCCTGGAGCACCCCCACAGGGCCCCCTGGGGGACGCAGTCAAACGCCTTCTCCAAATCCACGAAACACATGCAGATATACCTAGGGGTCTAGAGCTGGGGCCTCATTTATCAAGCTTGCTTACGCACAAAACTGGTCGGAAAACTGCGTAAGCAACTTTCCACGCAAACTTTGGGATTTGTTAAAGAAAACGTAGCGAAAAAATGTGCGCAACTTTAAGTTGACTAAGGACCTGGTTTACGCACATTTTGGACATGGAGAGCACCTGCGGTGCTGCTGCTGAGAAGGATAAAGTTATGAATTCCAGCAGCATTACCACTTGTACCCCCCCCCCCCCCACACACACACACACACACACACACGTGCACAGCCTGAAGCGCAGAATACGGAATGAGACAGAATGTTATACGTCTGTGACAGTATGAGCATCCCGTCACTGTGACAGCGCTAAGAAAAATTGACAGCAACACTTCACAACTTGTCTGTAATAAAAAAATTAAATAACAACTTTAATCGTTCCTTTTGTGTTTACTTCTTGCCCAACACGTCGGTTTAACTCAGTAAAAATTACAAAAATATTTACTGGAGTCAATGAGCTTGAACATTTCGTGAACATGGTTTAACTCAAAGCAGCTTTCCGGAGTTTTCTACTTTCAGAAATTATGTATGGTTTTTCAGAAATCTGTAAAAGTGACTATCTCATCATGTACCGTGACATAATGTAAGCATTACATCTTTTTTATTTGCTAAGCACGCCCCCTGTCCCGCAGAGCTCCGTGCAATAGGAAACTGAGCGCCGACCAGAACTAACCAATAGCGTTAGACGACCGCTTAGACGCTTCACATTTAAGGAATGCCTCGGCTGATGCAGAGTTGATGAACCTTTCACGGACAAGAAAGTCTCTAAAATATAAATATATGAGAACACAACATGACATGAGAATATTACTCGTGAAACATGTTTTAGCTGTTTGTCGGCTACAGAAGCACATTTATAAACAAGAAATGTGAAATCGCCATCTTAAGAACACAGAGCGACAGACTTTTTGTGTCATATGCCTGTCAGCCACTAGATGGTGCCATCAGATAAGAGAAATACTCCGGAAAGAGACTTTAAGTGAGCTAAACTAACTTGTCAGGTTTTACAGTGCAGTTCTATAAAACACCTGTCGTGTTTGATGAACTGCTGATAAATGGGTGATGAGTAATACTTGAATGGTTTCATTTTCACGTAAACAACCCATAAAGTACCAAATACTCTAACTAGATTACTGATACAGTACATTATACCGAATGGTGTGTGCGTGTGTACGGAAGTGGTATTGTTCTGTGTTTGGAGCTTCGTTCCAGTCTGCCTCTGGTTTAGTATGAGTAACCCAAAGATCCTCTGAACCAGCCTGGCAAACCATCGTACATGTATGAATATAAAGTCTGGCCATGACCCACAGACAGAGTTCAGTCGAGGAGCAGAATCTACGGTTGTGTCTCAGTTTGAAACATCACAATGTTTGGACAAACAATGTAATGTACTCATCGCTATGAATATCAGTCAACGGGCCAGTAGTGGACCTGCTGAGGCTCAAATGGAGCGTGGCTAGACTGACCTGTGGCCCGAAATCCTTTTGCTTCTACTATGGTCTGTCTAGATTTCTAGACTTCTCATGAACCACTGGATGATCCTAGTTTGACGTGACAATATGTATTTTTACCTCTAGTCTCTGGAAATATCCATCGGACTGTTGTTGAAAATGAATAAAATGACGCCCAGTCGTAACCGTAAGTACATAGGGCACAGGTCTTTTGTCTTTGGGGGGCATCATATTAGACGCCATGTTTCCTTCTGGCCGGCTCGGGGTCTTGCACCTGTCGATGACGTCACACTGGATGACTGGCTGGATGTACGACCTGTGGAAGTTACGTTACTTCTTCAAAAACATTTAGGCAGTAAGAAACACAAATTTAATAACAAAACTGCAAAACCCCTTCCAAAACATATGTGAAAGAACAGAGTCGGAAAAGAGATGCAATAAATTTTGGCTTGGTGGTATTGCCGTAGTATGATGATGTAATCGGCATGCAGGCAGCAGATCTAGACACTACGGTGCCAGAAAACTACAATCGGCACACAATCGACGGAATCAGCTGAAGGACAACTTCTGGATGACTTGTCAGGCTTGTTCCAGCACCATGGACAGAGCCAGGGGTTAAAATGCTCCCATTGGTTAATCATTAATATGTATTTTTTTAATGATGTAGATGAATGGCTTATCTTTTACAGCATCATATTCTTTTAATTGGGTTTGCTCCGAGTGCTTCTTGGAAACACCAAAGAATTGGCTCAACTGGGAAAAAAAGAAAAAAGAATGATGCCAAACACCCAGCGACCATAGTTACACTTCCTTGTTTTGTACATGAAGTTTTTTGAGACAAAACTAAAGCCCTGAGGTCATGCTGAGGTGTGTCCTTGCAGTGTCTGGGTGTGAGCTCCATAGTTCTGTGTGTTACGCAGTGAGAGTCGATCTGCTTGGAAAAGATGGCTGCAGGGGGTTTCTCTTACACATTTATGACAAGGATGAAATGAAAATGTCCTCAATTAGAAGCACGTCAACACTTGACTGACATTCCTTATCAGCGCTGCTTGATGTCACCATAGTAACAGCTCGGTAACACAGAAGCTTGATTTATGACTCAGCAGTTTTCAGCTCAAACCCTCGGCGGCCTGCCTGCGTATTCAGGTGTGCTCGGACCATATGTGCAGTGCACGCAAGCGGAGATGAACACAAGGCGACAGTGTGTTTTGCAGCTCTCTGTCACACACACTCTTCTTCCAAAATGCTGAATTCTTTCCACAGATCCCTGTGATAACACAGCCGGCGCTGCCTTTTGAAAAGCAGGTGAACGCATTATTGGCGCAGAGAGGAGAATTCCTGAGCCATCCACCCATGCCTGGCCTCCTTTTGATCTCAAAAACTGTGTTTGCCCCTCACACAACTGAATCACACATGTTGCTTCATGTGATTTATGGGCTTCTGAACGGCTCTTCCCGTGTAGCTTATACTTTAGCTACAGCAACTAAAGAAAAATAAAACCTAAAGTATTTTTCTATCTGAACAAAAGAATATGGAAACATGAATTCCCATTTATTTTTGCACAATATTTAATCCTGAAAGAAAAACAATAACAGCCATTTTCAATTAAAACTCTTAGTTTAGAGGAGATTTTTCTCTAGAATACATGAACTACGTTGATAACATAAAACAGAGTTACTGTTTTGCATGCTTCTCTTTTTTTTTTTACCAGAATTGTCTGAAATTGCACAGTTGCACAAAACCATCCTAAAACCTGCACATCCACCTTGCAACATCTTCTGTCAGGTCCCATTTGTCTCCTCTGTATCCATCACGTGCCTGCCGACCTTCATCCAGCTCTACTTGCAGGTGAAACCTGAACTATTTGTGGCTCAGTGGGACTTCGTGGACGGGATGCGTTCTAAGCAACCCTTTGTTTCCCTCCTCTTTGTGAAAGGAGTGCCATTTGTTCAGGTGCTCGTTCTCTCTCTCTCTCGCCCTCTTTTGCTGTCACTGCTTCAGCAGCCTCTTCATTCAGGCGATTTTCCTCCGAGGGGACTCATCTGAACCCAGGGTATCTACAGCTGTCTTTGATTTGTCAGCTGAAGCTCTGTGAGACATACATAGAAATCAAACACTTTGTCAAAGTGTGATTAAAGTGTAATTAAAAGAGTGAAGAGTTTGATTTTAAAACTCACCTGATGGTGCTGAGCGTGTCAAGCTGCAGACTCTTCACCGATGAGATTTCAGGGCTGCACAAATGAAAATAACAAAAAATCACCAACGACTACAGAAACCTCAAATGTTCTGAATTAGCTGCATGAAAGCACCTGCTCTCATTTCACGATCACGTTTAAGACCTTCTTTGTCACTTTTGCACCACTACTTAAAGTCACTTTTCAGTCGGTTTCTCTGAGTTCACGCGTCTCGTCTGCTGCCTGTGAGCCTGTTGCTCACCGTCTCCTCGACTTCAAGCTGTCGTTTTAGTACAGTCATTTCTGGGGAATGTGGCCATAAGTTTCACAGCCTCCAACAACTATCATGCACCTACACACACACACACACACACACACACACACACACACACACACACACACACACACACACACACACACACACACACACACACACACACACACACACACACACACACACACACTCTAATAATAGCACACATTTCCTGACAGCCCACCACTCCCTGGCCTCTTCAGTCCCCACCTGCAGCTACAAAGTGTTTTTGAGGAACGGGGAGGATGCCTTGACTCACCGGAGACAACAGAAACGTCTGCAGGTCTGATCATCAGGGTTGGAACAGGCGCAGCGTCCAGTGGACCGTTTACGACGCAGCAAAGCACCACCCAAACCATAAAGAGTTGTTTTACTGCAGAGGAAACAAAAAAATAATACTCAGAGTCACAGTGGCGATATAAACACATTGCAGACTTTGCTCTTTGCTGCTCTGTTACTGCAGATATGGGGATTGTTCAGCTGTCTTTAAACTTTGCATCAGAGTTGCTTAATTTTAAGCCAGACCGTGTTGTTTCTCTGTAACACCCTCGTGCTCACCTGGGTGTGTTGATCCAGATGATGTCCAGATGACAGAAGTAGTGGCACTCAGAGTCCAGCCGGTTGCTGCAGGCGCAGCGCCGGGTCCGGGCTCGGTGCACCGGGGGACCACCATCGATGCCTTCAGGGACATCCTTCACAACTGGAAGACCCAAACCTACGGCGTTCCAAAGAGGCACTCTGTTAGGGTGAACCCTCAGCTCCACAAGGACAGCCGTCCTTTTGCAGTAAAATAAAAATTGTCTTGAATATTTTCTTTAAATTCACTGGATGACAAAACCTAAACTGTTTCTCTGTGAAAGGATAATAAAAAATCCCAAACATAAATATTCCTGCTCTTAAACAAAACGCATTTCTAATAATAAAACATGGGAAAAACATAAACTTCTGCTGCTTCCTGAATTATTTAAAAAGATTTAAAAAACAGATAATTTTAGCTTCAGAAGCATAAAAACAAAAATTCTGTGTTCACAATGATAAAATCCTCTTCTTTTATCACAAATGGAAAAAGTCAAATGTCCAGTTTTACACCTAAAAGCACCTCAATAAAACAAAACTTTAACTCAAAGACTCACCATCCTGAACAGAAGTCCAAATAGTGACAAGGAGAAGAAGGTAGCTGTGTGTGGCCATGCTCTGCTCCCTGAACCTCTTTATTCTGCTGTTGTGGTTCCTGTGCTGAAGGTGTTTGAGCTTTATACCTCTCCTCCCCAGTGATGTCATGGCAGAGGCTCCCCCCACGCCCGCCTGTCACAGAGCAGCAGCCCACGACCCTCAGGGTGCTCCAACTTGTGGCACGAATCTCGGAAGCTTTCCATCCCTGATAAATGTCACCTGCTGAATGACGTTTGAATTTGAATGAGGAATCATCTGGCTATGGGGAGAACAAGAGATGGGTTTCACAGATTACTGATCTGAGGCAGTGACCACTGCAGTCACACGTGGGAGGAGATAAGAGGAAGATGCTGAAGGGATGTTTTATCAGAGATATTTTGTGTTTTTTAACCCACAAAAGCAGGATCTTTACAATGCAAAAACATACAAAATGTCTGATTCACAGAGTCGCAGCAGTGCACCTGATCAGCTGACCCGAGAGAACGGGAGGAGGCTGCAGCAGCTCAGAGAGGCCGGACGGGGCGAGGCCGCATGGAAGTAAATAAAAAACTTGTGGATCCTAAAGTGAACAGGCAAACAGTGGAGAGAGGGTACAACAAAGAGTAATGTGCTCATATTTACATGATGAAAGGTGCTGGAGGGTTTTGTGACACCTGAAGAAGCTCTGACCTTTGTTTATTTATTTATTTGTAGAACAGTGTCATGTTTTTGGGATGGAATCGAATAGGAGCAAACAGGAGGGTACCTACAACTGAGCCCTGTGGAACGCCTCACTATAGAGGAAGAAAAGAGGTCACCGAGACCACCCCTGGTGCCCACAGCTCCAAATGACAAAAAGTTCACGTTCCAAAATAACACCGACGTCCATGTCAGGAGCATAAAAACACACAGTTCTGTGACACGAGCTGAAAACATGGCTGTGAGTTTAATGTTGGGTATCTATTAATGTTTTAAATGTGAAAAAATAAAATTCTCCTTTATTTTTTAGCAGGACAGTGTCTGAGTTGTGACTGACTCAGAAACGGTGTGAAACTCATTCATCTGATCGCCGCGTACAGACAGTGTGACTAACTTCTGCCTGACAGGCTGCAGGGATCCTGCTCGTGTCACACCTGCATGACCTGCAGGGACAGGTCAGCCCTGTCGGGTCAGGCTGATAGTCAAATATCAGCCTTTACTCATGAAAACACAGGAAATACAGAAACGACACGGCTGTCATTAGAGAATCTGCTGCTCCAGCTGAAATGGGCAACATCTGCATTAAACAGGAAGAAGATACAACCATAGGCGTGGAAACTTGGAATGATTTTGTGACGTTCTGCTATAGGAACCAAGCATCACCTGTAGGCTGTTTTTACATTTATGAAAACATGAAAGGGAATCAGTAAATTCCTAAAAAGAAAGACTTAACTTAAATAATAAAAAATGGCTTTAATTTATTATAATAATTTTATCATGTAACCTAATTTCATTTGCTGTGTGAGGGGCTTTATTCCCTTCATAATTAAAATGTCATAATGCTATAAAAAACTTTAATTCTGCTCCTTTGTTACGTTTGTACTGTGTTTGTTTTCTGATTGGGTTTTCTTCAGTTCTTCGTTGTATACAGTGTGATGAGGGTTTGTTTCACCTTTGCTGACTAATTCTGCTCGTTTTCATCGTTTTATCCGAGTCCGGGTCGAGGGGGTAGCAGCTCCAGTGGAGAGGCCAGAGCCTCCCCGATGACTCCACCAGCTCCACTGCCAGAATCCCCAGGCGTTCCCTGGCACAACATCCTCCTGGAGCTTTCTTCCTGTTAAAAAGGAGTTTTCCTCTCCACTGTCGCTGCATGCTTGCTTAGATGAGGATTGCTGTAAATACTTTGACACTAGTCAGTGACTCGATGCAACCTGCTGGGTTCCTTATATAAGAAACCTTTTACTCATTGACTTAATGACCTGACTCTTGTCGTGATTTGGCATTATATAAATAAACTTTAATTTAATTTAATTGAAAATGGAAGCATAATCCCTCCAACAAATTTAAAAAAACTTTATTTGTAGAAAGAAAAACAACAAAACAAGGCAAAATGTCATGAATAAGAGCTAATTCAAATGCCATGCCAATTTTTATGCCTATATAATATTTTCTTATGAGTAATTTAATTAAAACAGTAACAAAAGCTTAAAATGACTGTTTAAATTGCTCTTTGATATTTCAAACATATTTGACAAAAACAACTGACCGAGTCCTCATTGACTCGTGAAAAAATGAAGTTGCTGACAAGTAAAAAATGTTGTTTCATTGGAACTTTTCACATGAATAAACACACTGACTGCATTCATGAGTGTGTACGTAGCTCTTTCCTGCAGCAGCACATTTTCCACTCGTGTTAAAGCTTCTCTCCACACTCTTCCCACCCTACAACGCGTCCACTGGCTCTGCCACTGCACTGGTCCCCACACCTTTGGCTGCAGACCGGCTGTAAAGGTCAGTGCTCATAGCATGATTTTTACCATCTTTATTTACAAGATATTTGCACCAAAATCATAAATGATTCTTTGTGGAGAGTCCTATTCAACTATCAGTGTATCGTAATTTCGTTTACTGTCAATAACGTTAAATAATAATGTGTTTTAAGTGACAGTGTGTATTTTTCCTGGCGACAGGGGGCAGTAGATACCTAAATTACTGCAAGCAAGTAGTGTTTTTGTGTTGGAGTAAGATCTTCACAACGGATGACCATTAGGGTCAAAAACCCCCAGGGGAGTACAAACTTCATCAAAATGACAAACACACAACTTATTGTGGGCAGTCTAAGGCACACCTGTACATTATTCATGCTGTCTAATCTTGATAAGCTGCACCTGTGAGGTGGGATGGATAAAGGAAAAGTGCTCACTAACACACATGTAGACACATTTCAGAACAATATTTGAGACTTGTGGGCGTTTTGGTGTATGCATGTTTGAGTTCAGCTCATGAAAAATGGGAGAAAAAACAAAAGTGTTGCTTTTATATTTCTGTTTAGTGTAAATTAAACTTTCAATAACTTGTGTTCAGTGGTTCATGAGTTTTAAGACATGGCAGCAAACTCCAGAAAAGCAAAAACACTCACGCTGCAGGCTCTGAGCATAGCGCCTCCTCAGCTGGAACAATTCGGCTCCAGCCCGATCTGCGGCCTCGCGCAAGCCGAGATCTGGCGAGGCAGACATGTGGGAGCTGAGCGTGAAATGCTTCATCAGAAATGAAGGAAGCCCCGGCGGAGGACTGCCTTTTTAACCCTCCCACTGTCCTAATGGGTGTGACCCCGCAAGGACAGTTGACCACTGAGCAGGGTTGATGGTTTATCACTTGAGGTCCACGTGGCAGGGGTGAGGAGTGAGCACCACCTCACCCCTGCCACGTGGACCTCAAGTGATAAACCATCAGTCCTGCATAATGGTCAGTGTTGGGAGTAATGCGGTACAGAAGTAATTAATTACTGTAATGCATTGCTTTTTGCTGTAATGTGGTAATGTAAGGCATTACAGGGAAAGAAAATGGTAATATTTACTCGGTACAATTGTCAGTAACGCGGTAATTACAATGCATTTTAAACCCAGAATCAAGATACGTTTCTTAAAAATTCAAATTGCGGGAAACCCGAAAAAAGATCCGGTATCTGCATATATTACGTCATTTATGGACTCAGCTTTGCGGGCAGAGAGGACGTAGCGGTAACGGCTCAACTACTCCAGCTGCGTCCTGCACGCGGCCACTGTAACATTCACAAAATCGCTCCACTAAAACAAAATAATTCACTTGCGATCGTTCATATCAGCGCATGTTCTCTGGTATTCTGTACTTTTCTGACATGCTTTGCCTCATCTGAGTTAATCTGGGCCCCAGTGATTTTAACTCATTGCTGCTGGAGCGCCGCGCATGTGAAGATCCCTTTGGCTGATAGTTAGAAAGTAGGAAGTCTAGGAAACAGTTTTTTCTGGAAGACGGAGAAAACATGCAGCATGCAGGAAGGTTAGAGAGAGAAAGGGCCGGAAATTATTCAAATAAAATCAAGAAAACAAAACAAAGTGCTTGAAAAGACAAAAAGTAGGTAGATTTATCCCCAATACACATTTTTACCAGTGAAAAGCAATAATATAAGCATTTAATATTTATACATGTGATAGAATCAGATCACCCCAGAAGCCAGTCTATGGGATTAGATTTGTGCCAATAGGATCAAGAAAAACACTTTGGAGAGCAAACAAATTTTAAGACATTGAGAGAAAAATATGGGATTAGATTTGTGCCAATAGGATCAAGAAAAACACTTTGGAGAGCAAACAAATTTTAAGACATTGAGAGAAAAAACATTGGTTTCAAAAGAAAAACTTACGATCTGAATCAGATTCTTAAAATGATCAAGAAAAACACTTTGACGGTCAAACATAAATTAAAAAATTGACAAAACAAAAATATTGACTAAAGGAAAAAAACATGTTTCAAAAGTAAAACTTACTATCTGAATCAACTTCTTAAAATGAGTAACAAAGTATGTTTCCTTTTTCTGTTTGCTAGTTTTGTTCCCGCTGCTCACAGCTTTGCTCTCACTACCAGATTTGCACTTACACTGTCTGGCTTTCTCCTTTGCAATCCCTGAGTTTTTGGTTGCAATTCTGACACAACCCTTTCGGGTGGGCGGGACTTCTGAGAAGTCCTCTCCCATAGGACAGTGGTTTCTCTTGAGTGACAGTTCAGTGACCTGGAAGTGATGTGGCCTCCGAGACATTTTTTTCTACCTGGTCAACAACATGAATTTTGAGCCCCAAACACGTTATTTCTGCTGTCTGTGGTGTCTACTGAGGATCTAAAGTGAGTATTGATAATATATTTTATCTTTTCTTAGTTAATCTGTAAGTTAAACCACTTTTTAAGTTGGTTTAAAGCAGACGTTAGCTCACTAGCTAGCTGCTAAGCAAGCCATTGTGCTAGCCTCAGGACAATGGTCTATTGTTCCAGAGAGACGTATTAAAAACTCATCTTAACATATTCATTACTGGTTTCATGGAATTAATTATTGCAGTTTATGTTAATAAGTTTGCTAAATTTTCAGGAACCTGTGGAACATCAGAGACTTTGCAGCTATTAGAGCTAACCTGTGTACTGCTAACTTGCTACAGAGGAAGCAGCAGAAAGCTGAGCTAACAGGCTGTTTTGCAGGTAAATACTCTTTTAGTGGAACTGCAGGATTTTTATGGTATAACTCAGAATCTACATGAGCTATTGTGGGAAGACATTTAAACTACATTTACATACAGATAAATGTATTTTTTATTCCATGTTACTTGGATGGGCTAAACAAGTTTAGTTCTGCCTGCTCCTTTTTCAGTGAAACGAATGGATTATATGATGTAACTCTGACTGAATAATTATCTAAGTGAGTATGTTTGATAATAAATTTATTTCCAGTATACAGATCTGACATTTGTTTGTCAGAACAAGACAAATCAGATTCAATGTGCTTTCTGTCACGTGTTCTATATTCTCCATCAAAAGAATGTTATCCAAGGCAGATAATCAATAATGAGTTTAATGCATGTTTTTAATTAATTTTTACATAAAATCTATATTTTTGTCTTAAAGCTATTTTAGACTGGCTTTCTCAGTCCTAGCACCGTTACTCTGGAACCATTTGCCACCCTCAGTTAGGCTTTCCCCCTCTCTGCTAGTCTTTAAGAATCACCTAAAAACACACCTCCTCTGCTTGGCGTTTCCAGAACATGTTTGATTTTGGCCCTCTTTTATGTTGAATTTATTTCAGTTTTCATTGGTTCACTCAATCCATCCACTCAATCCAAATGTGTTTCACACATTTGTCCTGTACCAGAGTGTTTCATCTATCTTGTAATTTCCATTTTGTATTTTGTAATTTGAATTGCTTTTATTGTTGATTTATTCAATATATTTACCTACAACTGTACCATGTTCAGCGCTTTGGGCTTCCTGACAGGGTTGCGGAAGGTGCTTTATAAATAAAGCTTTGATTGATTGATTGATTGATTTTTTATTTATTTGTTCTTTCTTTTAGATTGAAAACTACTGCACTGCATTACAATGGAAGTGCTACACGGCCACATGCATCAACTGCAGCTGGTGAGCTAAGACACACCATAGTGTACACAAAGTACACTGCAGACAAGGGATGTAAGAAAATATCAATATGACAATATATCGCAATATATTTTCCCAGTGATATTGTATCGATATTCTCAAACTGTGTCTCTAAAATATCGATATGGCAATATATCGTGATATTTTTTCCTGAGATATTACATCCATTTTCAAAAGCAGTGTATCTAGTTTTTGGAAGAATTTACATGCAAACATTTGTGTATTTTCTTTGTTTTTGGTGCACTTTAAATGTCGACCGCTAGTCGGCAGCAGTGTGCATTGGGTTTTGTTTCCACCATTGAAATTTTAATCTCGCTATTATGGTTCAGATAAAGCCGGGCATACACTGTGCGACTTTTTCACTCGCAGCGTTCAGCTTCAGCTCCAGCTCACACTGTACGACTTCCTCGCAGGGCAGATCTCACGAGTCAGGCGCTCACACTGTACGACCCAGTTCTCGGATGCGACCTGACTGCTCATACTGTACGTCTGGTAGCAACACGTCGGCCCTAAAAATGTGCTAAAAATAGCAGTTTTTACTCAACACGTCAGACGTTTTTGTCTTGTTTTGCCTGTTGTCCTTCGGGAGTGCTGCAGGAGGACACACAGGGATTTATGGGGGTTGGATGAGGAAAACGAAATAAAGTAAATCTGTGTTTTGTGATCAGTTTAGTTTGACATGAACACGACGAACATGCTTTCTTGACAATCTTTGTGAGTAAAAAAAACGTGTAGAAACAAAAACGAACAGCGTGTGTTATTAGGGAAATAGCGAGCGAGCGGCGTTGATGCATGATTGCACATGCGGCGTGAGCGGTTCTGATACTTTTTGGGTCGCAGCTGCTCGCAGCGCCGCTTCAACAGTGCCATACCCTCACGAGGGACGAGCTAAATATTAAACACGCCAGAAGTCCGTGCGACCTCACGATTGCTTATCGGCAGCTGGTCACGTGGTGTTAATCGCCTCTCGTAACCCCCTGCACACTACACGACGCTCAGCGCAAAACTCGCCCCGATGTTGTGGATTCTCGCACGACTGGAAAATCGGCTCAAAAAAGTGAAAAAGTCGCACAGTGTACACCCGGCTTAAGTCATGTTACATATGTTATCAGTTTGGACTGTCTATTGAATATTCCTACAATAAATTCAGTCAAAAATACACATCCCTACTGCAGACCAATCCCACCTCATGTATTTCATAGGATGTATAATAAACCCACAGTGATGGTTATGGATAAATATCTGTACTAATGGTAATCTTTTTCCATTGTTTCCAGTTGACAAGCATATGGACCTATTGTTCGAGTCCGTGGTGGTGGATGCTCTACCATATCAGGAGTCTGACTAAGTACCCGGGCCTGAACCTCTCTGTGTCTAGTTCAAAAGACCTGCTGTAAGCAGGCACAGGTTAAGATTTTAAAAGAACCTGTAAGGTGAGCAACACAACACAATATAAATCTTTATTATTATTGTACGCTGTACAGCTAGAATAAACTTGCATGCTCAGAAGCCACGTATGATTACATCGCCTACAGGTTGCCTGATGCTGAACTTCGGGCAGCTGCGTGTGACTGTACTCCCGAGGAACAACCGCCTGTGGGAGGAGTCGTTGTGTTGCTGTCAGGAGTTTGGGTTGGAGTCCTGGGTTTGTGTTCCCTTTAATCTCTTCCTTAGCCTTGCTAGTCACCATTGCAGAGCACCATGGAGAGGCTTACCTGAAAACTCTTCTCATGGGGCAGGCACATCCTCACACACCTGTAACCCCATCCTTGAATAAAAGCTGGTAGCTGGTCACTCATCAGTGTTTTAACCCATATCTAGCCCATGACTGCCGTTTTTCAAACTTACGTTCTCATGTTCTATGAAGATCTATGGGAATTCTTTCCTTGAAGCTCCTTATCACACAACCATACTGGCAGTCGGCTTACCCACTACCTTCTGCTCACCCGCTTGCAACTCATGCTGTCATTCTCCCAGACTTCTGGTTGTTTCTCCACCATTCTGCTGTCTCCCGTCTGCGCTATGACTTCAGACTGTAAGTACCTAAACTTTTCCTTTTGTAAGTCTCTCTTTAGTCATTACTAACACTCAATTTTACCTCAGGGCCTTCTGATCTTTAAACACTAAAACCTGTGGCTCCATCTCTGTGGCGTTTCTCAATCTCTGTAAGCTACCTGCACAGTCTAAGAAAAACCTGACCTGTTGCCTCTTACTAACCTCTGCTCTTCCTCGCAGAAGCTTCTGGTTCCTGATCTCCAGCTGTTACCTCTTCAGTCATCCGTCAAACATTTTAATAAACTAAACTGTTTTTAGCTCATTTGTCTCCTGAGTTTCTCTGCACGAAGGTCAGGTTGTTGCAAAAATCATGACATCAGCAATTACTTTGCACCACTTTGTTAAACAGCTGATATTAATTTCAAGTGTATCTTTAAAAATACATTGAATGTCAAAGTGAATGAAAGGCATCCATTCAGCTTTCGGTGTCTTATGCAGGATTTTACGGACAGGCACCAAAACAGGAAATTTATAAATTGAGATTTATTTATTAAATCAGGTAAACCATAATAAAATACTAATGTTTAAAGTCCGGAGGAGGGAGGAAGGCTTTATAGCAGGGGTATTCAATTCTAGTCCTGGATGGCTGGTATCCAGCACGTTTTAGTTGTTTCCCTGCTCCAACACACTTGAATCAGGGGTTGAATTACCTGTGCAGCAGCTCTGCAGAAGCCTGTTAATTATCTGCTGACTGAAATCAGGTGTGTTGAAACAGTTAAAACTAAAACGTGCTGGATACCGGCCCTCCAGGCTCAGAAGTAAATACCCCTGCTTTATAGGCACAGAGAACTCCCATCAGGATCCTGGAGACGGCACAAGGAGATGACGACATGAGTGTGCCCTCCCAGATCACACCAACACCACCTGACCACATGGAGGCATGTGTCTGTAAGAAAGAAAAACTGGTGATGTATGAGATCTAAACAAAATCTACGAACAAAATCAATTTTACAGTTGTTTAACCTGCTGAGCATCGCCTCCCCAAAGAGCAGCACAAAGGTGCAACTGGCTCAGAACCAGGGTGCTCCGTAATGCAGGTAGTCACCTCCTCCTGCTGACACCCGAGGATTGCCTACAACAAAGGGAAAACTGATATCAATAAGGAAATAATTAAATCTGAGCTAAAAGTTTAATTTTAGTGTGACGTTTGAGATTGTGGGAAATAAATGTGGACATTATGATTTTCTATTGTGGGGTCAGTACCTTGGGCGTTTCTCTGCAGCAACATTTTGTCTGGCTGACAATGAAGTAGAAAAGTCACCAGTTGAGGCAGAGTTAGACTATATTACTCCAGCTAAGCTAAATGTAGCTAAACTAGACACTAGTCACCAGACTATGGTTACTATAGATTTACTAGAGTTACATCATATAATCCATTCGTTTCACCGAAAAAGGAGCAGGCAGAACTATGAACTTGTTTAGCCCGTCCAAGTAACATGGAATAAAAAATGCATATATATGTAAATGTAGTTTAAAAGTCTTCCCACAATAGCTCATGTAGATTCTGAGTTATACCATAAAAATCCTGCAGTTCCACTAAAAGAGTATTTACCTGCAAAACAGCCTGTTAGCTCAGCTTTCTGCTGCTTCCTCTGTAGCAAGTTAGCAGTACACAGGTTAGCTCTAATAGCTGCAAAGTCTCTGATGTTCCACAGGTTCCTGAAAAATTAGCAAACCTATTAACATAAACTGCAATAATTAATTCCATGAAACTAGTAATGAATATGTTAAGATGAGTTTTTAATACGTCTCTCTGGAACAATAGACCATTGTCCTGAGGCTAGCACAATGGCTTGCTTAGCAGCTAGCTAGTGAGCTAACGTCTACTTAAAACCAACTTAAAAAGTGGTTTAACTTACAGATTAACTAAGAAAAGATAAAATATATTATCAATACTCACTTTAGATTCTCAGTAGACACCACAGACAGCAGAAATAATGTGTTTGGGGCTCAAAATTCATGTTGTTGACCAGGTAGAAAAAAAAAATGTCTTGGAGGCTACATCAATTCCAGGTCACTGAACTGTCACTCAAGAGCAGTGTTGCCAACTGTTTTTGACTGAAAGTAGCTGAAGTTCCCCCCAAAAGTCACTAGATGCTTATTTACATATTGATGACGTCATCACGCCACATTAGCGTTCGTTTTCTCTATGGCATCTAATATATATATATATATATATATATATATATATATATATATATATATATATATATATATATATATATATATATATATATATATAATAGGACTAAAAGGGAGGAAAATAAATACTATGTTATATGTTAAAGTTATTAATTAGTATGATTAAAATGGCCCAAATTGCTTTGATATGTACAATAAATTCCAAAACTACCAATAAAGTGGCATTAAAACAGATATGGTGTGGTGATCCAAACAGTTCTGTTGTAGGATATAACTCAGACCTCCTGCTCTCCTCATTCTCACAGACATTTTCCTAAAAAGCTGTTTTTTTACACCTCATAGTTTCTCAACTTCTCTGTTATGTATTCTCTCCATCGTGATAATAACGGCGCTCCGAGCAAAAGGGAGCGGGTGTCTCATAGTATAACCATCCCTGTGTCACTGAAGGAAATTCAGATGAGCCACAGAGCTGCGTGTGTAAACGGGACGGTAGTTGAAACTCCCGATGACTTTATTTGCCAAATGCAGGAAAAACCAAAGTGTCTGACGGCTGCAGAACCAGAGATGGCAGGTTGACGCCCGCGCCGTCTCTAGTAGAAGCGTGAGCCTGCAGCAATATGAAAGCAGCAGACGTAAATCGGCGGTCTCCAGCTCTGCAGCTTCAGCGAATCAGACCGGCCGAAAACGGTTTATGATTGGTCAGTCCTCGTGCACATGCGCAGATTATCGTTCTCTTTCCTTACTCCCGGAAGAACGGTTCAGAGTGCAAACGGTTTCTTTGTTGCTAATCTGTAGGGAATATCTACATGAAAGTTCTACAGAAAGTAGCAACGGGTCCTGAGAAATGTCGCTAAGTTTGTCGCTAGGCGCTTTTTGGAAAAAAAAGTCGTTGAGGGGGGTCAAAAAGTCGTTAGGAACAGTGACAAAGTCGCCGAGTTGGCAACACTGCTCAAGAGAAACCACTGTCCTATGGGAGAGGACTTCTCAGAAGTCCCGCCCACCCGAAAGGGTTGTGTCAGAATTGCAACCAAAAACTCAGGGATTGCAAAGGAGAAAGCCAGACAGTGTAAGTGCAAATCTGGTTGTGAGAGCAAAGCTCTGAGCAGCGAGAACAAAACTAAGGAAATTGATAACAAAAACACATAGAGTTAAACAGAAAAAGGAAACATACTTTGTTACTCATTTTAAGAAGTTGATTCAGATAGTAAGTTTTACTTTTGAAACATGTTTTTTTCCTTTAGTCAATATTTTTGTTTGGTCAATTTTTTAATTTCTGTTTGACCGTCAAAGTGTTTTTCTTGATCATTTTAAGAATCTGATTCAGATCGTAAGTTTTTCTTTTGAAACCAATGTTTTTTCTCTCAATGTCTTAAAATTTGTTTGCTCTCCAGTGTTTTTCTTGATCCTATTGGCACAAATCTAATCCCATAAATCCTAGCTCAGACAGCACATCACCTTCCACCGGATGTGTCATGAGTTCACCAGGCATCAGATTACCAAACTCATACCGAAGTTGTTTTGTTGAAAGTAACTTAGAGTAATGCAAAAGTAGTGTAATGCCTTACATTTTAAAATCAGTAATATTGTAATGTAATGAATTACTTTAAAATGAGGGTAACAAGTAATAAATAATGTATTACAGTTTTGAAGTAACTCTCCCAACACTGATAATGGTCAACTTTCCTCGTGGGGTCACACCCATAAAGACAGCGGGAGGGTTAAAAAGAGGAGTTTACTCGTTTAATCAACACATTTGCAGGAGTAGGAATGAATGCCTTACAGTTCGTACTCAGGGTACAAAGATGCCCACAAACCCCCTGGTCCAGCAGGGCCAAGTCTGCCACACGTCTGTGCTTCGAACAGGTGGATTTGAAGTATTTTTTCCTGATATTTAGACATCTTGCCTCGGATTGGAATAAAGCAATGCAACTCAGACTCTGGTTGGAGACGTGGATGCTTTATCCCCACAAGTAGCAAGCCTGGAGGAGCTCCCGCCATGTTTGAGTTGCTAATGCTAGCAGTTATTAAGTGAAATAATGTGTCCTACCTCCATCCTAGAGTTTCACCGTCCCTTTTCAGAAGCTAATGCAGGAGATGTGTAGGTGTAGGAGACTATTTTAATGTTCAGCCTGCATTAAAAACTGAGAGGAACCAGTTATAATCAGAAATAATCATTAAAAGGTTTTTTTTAGTGCCTTTCAAAGTAAGAGGACTCCAAAGTGCTTTACAGTACAGTGTGTCGTTCATCCATTCATACACTGGTGGTGATGAGCTGCGATGTAAACCACAGCTGCTCCGGGGCGCCCCGACAGAGGCGAGGCTGCTGAGCACAGGCGCTACCAGTCCCTCTGACCACCATTAGGCAAGGTGGGTTAAGTGCCTTGCCCAAGGACTCAACAGCAGAATCCTCTACCGAGACCTGGGATCAAACCTACAACCTTACAATTACTTCTTTGTGACTTCGTTTCTGTAGAAAATTTCACAGAAATTTTGTGATTTCTTTTTCTCTTCTAAAGTCATACTTCTTTAATTTTCTGTCACTTAGTCACCTATTTTATGTTAATTGTTCATAATTGCTGGTAAGGATGCTCGATATTATCAGTCTAGCACTAATATTGGCATTCAAACATTATACAGAAAAAAATCGGTATCGGTTTTCAGTCTTTTAGTGACCCACCTTTTTACGTACCATACATATGTTACACATAAAACTCTCCGGATACTTATATATAAATATACTTGTATATAAATATACTTATACATAAATATACTTGTATATAAATATACTTGTATATAATTATACTTATACATAAATATACTTGTATATAAATATACTTATACATAAATATACTTGTATATAAATATACTTGTACATAAATTTACTTGTATATGAATATACTTATACATAAATATACTTGTATATAAATATACTTGTATATAATTATACTTATACATAAATATACTTGTATATAAATATACTTATATATAATTATACTTATACATAAATATACTTGTTTATAAATATAGTTATACATAAATATACGTATACGTAAATATACTTATATATAAATATACTTATACATAAATATACTTGTATATAAATATAGTTGTACATAAATATACGTATACGTAAATATACTTATATATAAATATACTTATATATAAACATACTTATACATAAATATACTTATACGTAAATATACTTATATATAAATATACTTATCTGATGTTTAGTTTAGAGATATTTGACTTTATTTGACACAACTTGTTTAGATTAGAGGGCGTTCCGTGACCGTATTTGTGTTCAAAACCGAGCTTGTTTGGTAAATTCGCTATAGCAGCTTTAAACTGAAGTTTAAGCGTGTTGGGTAAGACAAATGTGATTATAGCAACCTAAGGTGTTTTAGCTGTTCTTGTTTATGAGTGGGACACGGCATATATCGGACATCGGTGAAAAAGCCAATGTCAAACATCCCTGATTGTCGGTGAAAATTAATAAACAGACATTGTTAAAAAATGGAAGGAAGACAACTTGAAGGAAGTCTGGTGCATTATTTTTTATTTCTCCAATGACTAAAAATGTGACCGTGTGAAATATGCAGGGCACTTGATCCTCTGGTACCAGCCAAACGCCGCTTTTCATCCCCACCGCCAGTTCAAGTTACAAGAAAACTCATAAAAAAAGGACACTGATGAACGTTTTCTTTTCACCCAAATAATGCAAAATAAAAAAGGCAACAATTTCAAATAATAATCGTCATCAAATTAAATAAATACGGAGCGTTCTCCCTGTGCAGACATAGACTCTGATCTCAAGTCTTTAGTAATAAAAATAGAACTTCAGTGCATTTCATTGGACACGTTTCTGCTGCTCCTTCAGCGTCTCCAACATCATTACCCTGCAAAGCAATGGCATCTAGAGCAGAGACAGAGCAACATTTTCTCCCCGTTAACAGAAAAACATTGTAAAAAATTCACAGCCTTCTCTTCATCTATGTACTCCATGTTTAAAAACACAAATCAGACAGAAAAGGCACAAGAAACTAGAAATTAACACTCAAATAAACAAAAAGGGAATCATTTATTTTAAATATAACGTTTTGGTCATTTACAACTGTAATCATATTCTTTTTGTGTTTATATATATTCAAGAAAACATTAAGGTTACCGGTATCTGATCAGATACAGGATATACGCGTTTACAGAAACAAGGTTTTCACACAGAAAAAGTGCTTTTTTTAAACAAACCTGAATATTGCCAAAGAACAAACATTGAATAGTATTGAAATCTGTAAAAAAAAAAAAAAAAAAAACATAACAATAAAAAACTTAACTAGTGTAGCAACCAACGACCCAAACCGCGGTGCGAGATGCATCGACTCTGTTAAGTGCTCTGGTCTGTTCGGGCTGCTTCCTGCTCCACCGGACCGCCACCCCACTCCTCCCGCTCTGCTGGATCTCCCTTGGCACGCGAGGCTACGGCGGCTGCTCGGCTGAGGCGGGGCGTTCCGGATCCGGCTCCCCTGGTCTCTGCAGCAGAGCCGTGAGTTTGGATGGAGCTGTGCAAGCTGCCATATTGCTTTGAGTCCGTGGTCTCCGTCTCAAGTTTGGAAAGTGTAAGTGCCGTGCTAAGACCGTGTCGCGCCGACTGGCTGGTTCCTGCTGCCTGGTGCTTGGACCAGTTGTCTCCAGGAGTCCTGAGCCCTTGAGTCCTGGGGGTCCCGCCCCAGTACGGTTCAAAGCGGGCGAGAGTCTGCGCCTCCACTGGGGGAGTTGTTGGAGATGATGGCGTAGGGGGGTGGGAGCTCGGTCGAGCCTGAACCATCTGGATCCCACCGATCGGTATCATCAGGTAGGGGAGCTTGGCTTGTTGGGAGTGCATAGGGAGATGGCTGAAGATGTTATCTGACGTGTGGAGGCCGCTATAGGCCTCACAGGTGGAAAGACGAAAAGCAGGTGGAAACAAACTGGTTTCTGGGAATGATGACCCTTCTGCTGCTGCTCCTCGTTTCTCCTGCAGGGGAAGCAAACGCTTTATTTTTACAGCTCAGTGACCTGTTGTGTCGGCACACCGAGTACTTCACACCCCGAGGAAATAATCTATTCATTTATATTTCCTTGTTTATTTGTAAATATATAAACATGAGAAGACGAGAACTGACCCGTTTGCCGGGACCTCCTGTAGGTCCAGGACTCTCCCAAGGCAGGTATCCGAGGGGTTTACACTGCTCCCCCAGCGGCGATGGAGGGGTTCGAACTTGTGGTGCTCGGTAGCAGCTGGGTGAAATGGGACGGAGAGGAGACAGAGGTCTGACGGGAGAGGGCCTTCTCTCAGGGGAGGGTGAGATGTGTTGGCTGGGCGAGGACAGCTCAGTCCTGGGGGACAAGCTGTGGATCGGTGAGGACAGCTCCAGGCGGGGGGACAGGCTGCGGCTGGGGGAGCAGCTCTCACTGCTGGGGGAAAAGGCTCTTGGAGAGGCCTTCCAGCCCTGCCGAGAGAACATCGCTCTCCTCTTGCCCGGCGAGGCCGCTCGCCTGCTGGGCCACACTCCTCGCAGGGACAGCTCCTGACCGGGATTCGGACTGGGCTCCGGATCAGGTGTGCCTTGCTGGGAGCGCCTGCTGCCACTGGAGCGCCCCCCCGTTGATGGGTGGGTGTCTGAGGAACAGCAAGATGGCAGATCTTCATGGGATGCAGTTTCTTCATCCTCGTCTTCTTCGTCATCGTCATCGGACTCCCCCACATCGGAAAACTGATGCTCCTCCTGTTCCTCTGGCCCAAAGACACGTTCATCGCTCCCTCCTTTCAGTGCAGACACAGAACACACAAACACACCTTTAATGAATCCCTCTGCTGTCCTTTCAACTCCTAAAGTCTGACTGCTCATCTAGAAAATCACAACAAACTCAAAAAACCCTTCAAAGACCCAACCTTCCAACCATCAACATCCACTCGGAATGAAAAGGATGGAATTTAACCGAACAGCACCGAGCTGCCATTCACAAACTAAGTGTTCAGCCGTGTGAATGGGACAAACGGTGCGTCCTCGGCTGGGACGAGAGAGGCTCGTCTGCAAGCAGCAGGAGGAGGAAGCAGACAAATCAGGGTATCTGCAGGTGTAAGGGAGCCAAATGTAAGACTTTTTAAGACCTTTTTTAAGGCCACTTTGACCAAATTTAACCTATAATTTCCAGCTATTGCCTGAAACCGGTGCTAACCGCGTTGCAAACGTGGGATTAGCCATCTAGATACCATTAAACTTGCACTTCCCCATGGCGCAAGCTCCCACTAGCTTAACCAGCTAATGTGCTCATCTAAAAATATCCCCTCTTCACAACCAACTGAATGTGTATGGTTCCACTGATGCAAATGTCATACACAAAAAATGCTGAACACAAACTAGGAATTCACAAAAAAAAATTTAGAAATAAAAAAGTCTTATTAATTGGGTCTTTGGTAATTTAAGACCTTTGGAAACTGTATTTAAGGATTATTTGTCATTTTTAAGGATTTTTAAGGCGTTAAATTTGGAAAAGCAAATTTAAGACTTTTTAAGGACCCGCGGATACCCTGCAAATGTGAGGAGGACAGAATGACATGAAGGTATAGAAGCTGCTTTAGCTTTAGACGCAGGAACGAGGTTTCCTACAACTCCATCAGAAGATCACAGCCTGCTCTGTTCTTCATTTATTTATCTTCTACCTTTTCCTCGCTCTTATGCAATGCTGGAGGACAGAGAATAGAACATGCTGTTGCATAAGCTGTCAGCACCGAGCAGCTTCTATTCTTCACACGCTGAACTTCACACAGCTGTGCACCCGTGGCTTCGTGGGGTGGAAGGGAAATGTGTGAGGAAGCATTCCCGTCCTCTGAAGTACCTGTTTCCTCGCTCTCTGGCTCGTCTAGCGATGACTCAGACAGTCCCATTGCCAGGCATTTCTTCCCGTGAGCCTTCGACTTCATGTGTTTTGTAAGGTTTCCTCCAAAAGAGAAAGAAAAGCACACGAAATCTTACAAGATGCCCTGAAAAGGACATTTTTCATCAACAGAGTTAAAATCAAGCCCAAATCCACATGCAGATCGTCCCTTTACCTTTGGTTTTGAAGGCAAAATTGCAGTGTTTACAGACGTAGGGACGCACGTCCGTGTGCGTCCTGATGTGCTTTTTCAACATGCTAGGCTTCTTGCAGCGAATGCCACACTCGCCACAAATGTACTTCCCCCGCCCGCGACCTCTCACGTAGATGTATTCTTCATTCGACCTGTACCTGAGAAAAAAACAAGACAGTCAAATGAAAATTGATTTTGTATCATCTCTGGGCAGATGGGGGGTTGTCAGGCATTCTAAAGACATCGAAAAGTGTGATTTTCATCTGACTTTGACTCTTTTTTCAATAAAATTTGTTAAGAATAAATGATAGAAAAAGCAAGATTGACTCCTTTATGAAAAACAATGGAACTGGTTTAAAACTTTTGCACAGTTCAGTCCACCTACTGGATTAAGGGGACAGAAACTTTTTAATCTTTTGGGGGAAATGTTTCATTCTTAGCTTCTTTAAAATAACCATCTAATAAATGCAGCTCTAAAACAAATGGTATCTGCTTCTAAAACCACTTTAACTAATAAAAGCCTCGTTTTGATCCTTTATTTCGTTTTCAGCTAGCTGATGGAAAATGTGAGCTTAGCTGAGCTCTGATTGGTCCCAGCGCTGTCCAATTATGAGTGGAGACAGTTTGAAAGACAACCATAGAGTCTGCCTCATGACTGGGCCGTGTCAATGGTTGCCAAGCTAGGCTGCTCATATAAAAGTGACTTCCATTCAGGGGCGTATCTACATGGGGGCAAAGGGGGGTAACTGCCCCCCTGCTTTAGCGCCTCGCCCCCATACTGGCCAGTGGTTCCCCTGGAGTTTCAGGCATGGCACTGCAACACGCCTGAAATTCCAGCGCCATTTCTCTCATTTAAAACGTAAATCATTTTGTTTTCTTTGTAGAAATTAAAACACAAAAATACATAAAAATAAACAAATTATTAACTCTATTCACATATGAGCAATTTTTACTTTAATCAATCGAGGGAGCCCCCCCCAAACCTTTAGATCCACCACTGCTCCTATCACACAGACATTTAACATCTCGTAATGTAAATGTTGACCAGAGCAACACACACACGCACACACGCGCACACACACACACACACACACACACACACACACACACACACACACACACACACACACACACACACACACACACACACACACACACACACACACACACACACACACACACACACACACACACACACACACACACACACACACCAAACTGGAGAAAAGGCTGTTTATGGTGCTGGGTTGGGGGAAACCCCACTCAGCCCAGCAGCATGGAGTCTGCTGGTCATGCCCTCCATTAAACTCTGGGAGCAGAAAGAATACCAGCTATTCTGCTGCGATGGTGAGGCTCTGCCAACAACAGCAGCAGCTAAAGAGAGGGAAGGGAAGCCTGGCGACAGCCAACAACCTAAAATACATCTTACATAGAAAGAAGAAATCAAGCAACACATTTAGGTCCAGTCTAAAATAACCTTGATGTTTACCAGAAGGCTTTTTGTGGACTGGCTGGACCACAGGTCCTTTATTTCTGACTGAACTGTCCTCTATGAAAACTTTTCCTCCTCAGGACCAATCCACTCTCAGCTGTAAACACTCAGTCTGTGCTGAGTGTGTTTAATTATGGGATGTGAACCACATCTACAACACTCCCTGTTGTATGACAGAACAAACCATGACAAAATCTTATGCAACTGCAGAATAAGCTGTGTCCATTCAGCTGCTGGCTGCTGTTTAATAGCAGGTGTTTCTCAGCACTTTTAAAAATATCCACTTAAGAAAAGCAGCAGCAAAAAGTCAGAGGTTGCTTTTCACTTTTTTTAACTTTAAATATTGCTGTCGGTTTCACACTACACAGTAATATCATGTTTTGTTGCTAAATGAATGCAGGAACTATTTATTTTGCCCAGGACCAACGCAGCAACTACCCAGTCGCATGGCTTTAATGTCCTTTCTTCAGCAGTCTGAAAGTGTGTGAAGGTACATGTTGTCTGCACTTAAACCAAGATGCATCTTTAGGGCTTTAGCTGGAAATTGTGGAATAATTAGCCATCCATCCATTTTTGTCCGCTTATCCGGAATCGGGTCATGGGGGCAGCAGCCTAAGAAGAGAGGCTCCTCCGGGGGAATCCCACGGCATTCCCTGGCCAGCTGAGAGACGTAGTCCTTCCAGCGTGTCCTGGGTCATCCTTTAGGTCTCCTCCTGGTAGGACGTGCCCAGAAAACCTCACCAGGGAGGTGTACAGGAGGCATCCTGACCAGATGCCTGAGCCACCTCAGCTGGCTCCTCTCGATGTGGAGGAGCAGCAGATCTACTCCGAGCCCCTCCCAGAGGACCGAGCTTCTCATCCTATCTCTAAAGGAGAGCCCAGACACCCTGTGGAGAAAACTCATTTCGGTGGTTGTATCAGCGATCTCATTCTTTCTGTCACTACCCAAAGCTCGTGACCATAGGCGGGAGTAGGAACGTAGATGGACTGGTAAATGGAGAGCTTCGCCTTCTGGCTCACCACAACAGACCGCTACAACGCCCACATCACTGCAGGCGCAGCACCAATCCGTCTGTCAAGTTCACGCTCCGCTCATGAACAAGACTCCGAGATACTTAAAGTCCCCGACTTGGAGCAGGACCTCGTCCCCGACCTGGAAAAGGCATTCTACCCTTTCAGACTCGAGACCGTGGTCTCAGATTTAGAGAAGCTGCTCCTTAAGAACTTTAGCATAAATGCTAATGTAGGTCATGCCCATGTTAATACTGTGTTGAGAGCTAAATCGTGGTTATTGTCCGTTTAAAACAGCGTTAGTTTAATATGCATAATGTAAAAAACAAGTAACTGGTTTAATAACTGATTATTTTGGTGTTAAAGATGAGCCTATACTCATAAGTAACTTTAGGTTTAGATCCTTCTGTACGGAGCTAGGATTGGGACAATATTACATGTAACTTGTAACATGCTTTGTAACTGTAACTTTCATTTTGTAATTTGCAGAAAATAAATCTATGTAAAAGTTTCAAGCCATAACTCTCAGAACACACACCTCAGTCTATAGTTGCATAACTCACACACAGTCCAGCTCATGAGCCTCCCTGATTAGGTCTATTCAGGGGTTCTGGAGAAGAGGGTCTGTCACATAGTCAAACCTCAGATTCAGGAGAGCTGAGCCGGCCGATCTACGTTCCTACCCTCACCTGTAGTCATGAGCTTTGGGTAGTGACCGAAAGAACGACATCACGGATACAAGCGGCCAAAATGAGTTTTCTCCGCAGGGTGGCTGGGCTCTCCCTTAGAGATAGGGTGAGAAGCTCGATCTCCGGGGAGGGGCTCGGAGTAGATCCGCTGCTTACCCACATCGAGAGGAGCCAGTTGAGGTGGCTCGGGCATCTGGTTAAGATGCCTCATGGATGCATCCCTGAAGAGGTTTTCTGGGCATGTCCAACTGGGAGGAGACCTAAAGGGAAACCCAGGACACGGTGGAGGAACTATGTCTCTCGGATGGCCAGGGAACGCCCAAGTGACTGGGGAGAAGGAAGTCTGGGCCTCTCGGCTTAGGCTGCTGCCCCCGCGAACCAACTCCTTACAAGCAGAAGAAAATGGATAGATACATTATTCATAATCATTACACAAACATCCACTTTAAACAAACAGTTGCTTTGATGACTGTGAGAAATCATTTATAAAACACAACTGCCCACACAAAAGCTCTGCAGAGTCGTGGTTTAAAACTGGACCTGCAAAGAGAGATAGGGATGATGAATTCACAGAATTCTGCTGTGTGCAAGACTTACTAGCTGCGTTTTTCTGCGTTTGCGTGAAGAAAATGCAGAAGGACTTCAAGGGCTGGAAATGCATGAGAGAAAATGAACTCAGAAAGGGTTCAGAGTGAAAGCAGGAGAATCATGCTCAGAGTAAGCAGAAGTGGGAAAGCTGCCAAAGAGCAGGAGGCAGCACGAGGAAAGGAAAGAGTACAGAAATGTAGACAGACGGGAGGAAGGAACTCTTTATGGAGGTAAATGCACTTCCTCAGTGAGTGCAGCATCTAGTATTCGGCAGAAACCTTTGTCACTTTCAATCAGTTGTGCGTTTAAACACGAAAACAAACCTTGGTGTGCTACGAATCAGAGAGCAACCCACAAAGCTGCAGCGGTTCCATAAAACACACGTCCTGCTTACGTGAAAAACAAACCAACACATGCACTCACCGGATCCTGTGTGCATCTTTTTGATTTATAATTAGTATAATTTAGAGCATCACAAACAGAAGTTGGGAACAATTTCTATTTGTGGTGAAAATTACTTTAAAACACCTTTGTGCTCTAACGAGTCACGTCGAGACAACCGAATAAAAACATCTGAGGACTAGGGCTGGACGATAGAGAAAAATCAATAACAAATGTTTTATATTGATCCATATCGATAATTATAGAAAAATATTAAAACATTTGTAGAACATATATTGCACGTGCAGCCCTGGCATTTTGTTTTTGGTAGTTTTATTTTTTCTGCGCCTCTTCTCGCTGAGACATCTTGATGCCTGATGCTCGGTTTTGGCTTGAGAAGGGGAGGACCTGGTGACGAGTCTGTGGTTTTGATTGGTTAGGAGTAAATAGCAAGTCTAGTATGCTGCTACCTGATAGGTTATAATGAAAAAGGAAACTTTTTTATCAAAGTTTTATCAACCCATTTTTTTCCTATCGCACCACATAGATATATTGAACTATTGAACTATCGTCCGGCCCTGCTGAGGACCGATCTGTCCAGAAGCAACGGGATTGTCGTAAACGTCCTCCTGTGTAGCCTGATGGTGACATCTGCCTCTGCTTGGGATTAAAGTACAAAAACAACTGCACATCTATGTAAAGATGTAAAACCGTAGGTCATTCATCCCCTCTGCAGCAAGAGTGCATAAGTCCTCAGTTTAACTGGTACTAGCATTATCCTGGTACACAATAACATCAACGCAATACTCAGTATGTGTTCAATACTTGTGCAACACTGGATGTAAAAAATCCACGTTTTCTTCTTATTCGTTGTTTAGAGTGGTTGAAGAAGGTGACGATAACAGCTTCCTGCCGTGTGTTTACCTGTACTCTTATTTTCTTCTTCCTTTTCTCTAAGTGGACTTCCCCACTGTGGGACTAATAAAGTCAAATCTAT